CCACAAAGAGAGTGGGAAAGGCAAGAGCCTTACCCAAAACACAGCAGGTATTAAAGACATCTCCCAGCAAGAAAGCCCACTCTCGCCTCAAAAACCCACCTCCTGAAGAGGCTTCACAAAACAACCTGCTTCTGATGAGGCTGCTCACAAAGAAAATAAAGCATTTCCCTGGGTCTGCCAGGTTTACAAACACAGGTAACCACACACAGCTGCAGAACTCCTTGGGATGGGCCCAAGCTTCAAGGCAGGCAGGAGATGCAGCCAAGCAGGACATGCAGCCAGGCATGGTGGTGCTCTGTTGGCAGCATGGGGGCAGGATTTATGCAAGACCCTGTCTTCTGCTGCAAAGACATCTGGCTCATCCTGCCTGCTCCACTTCTCCCTGCAGAGCTCAGCAGCATCATGTCTGCTTGTCACAGCACTCCAAAGCAGAACAAGGCACAGCCACCCCTTTCCTTGTAGCCTTTTTCTTGTTTCCAGGCTACTCCTGTCCAACTTGGTACGCTTCAGCCAGCAACAACCAAGCCAGTAGCAGATAGTGGCACCACAAAGCTACACCAAAGTGTACATGAAGTGCCACCCAAAGTGTAAGAACTGCTGCTTTAAAACAAAACCTGCAATGCCACAAGAGTAGATGGTTCAGTTTCCTCCACCCAAGAGAGTTTTGTATCAGCTGCTGGCAAGCAACAACCCACGGCCCTGCGCTAAATAGGTCTGCCTGGCGTAGGTCGGGCCGAAAGGGCGTCGTGGGATTTCTTGCAGAACCAGGAACAATGCCAAAGGCAGCAAAAAGCCTCTCCTGTTTTCTTCTTGCTTACTTCACCTCACCACAGAGACAGCTTTCAAGGATGTGCCTGGTTGGAGCCTTCCTGTCTCCAGAACTCATCCCAGTGCCCAAAGTCCAGCCTCCAGAACACTTCAGCTGATAGCGCTCTCCATCAAATGTGCACTCCAAAAGAGCTTGTGGCAGCAGAACAGCTCCCATTCCCCCAAGTGGTGAGAATAACCCACCCAAGTGATGGGAATAATCAGCTCAAGGGAAAAGGCTGCATTTAACCTCTTCATACAGGATTGTCCCATGTGCCGGGGACACAGGAACAAGATAGCCAGATCTCTGAGAGGATGCAGATCCCCATGAGTCCTGTCTGGAGCTATTGTCACCTAAAAGCAGCAGTGACAGGCAGCATCTTTTCTATTTTATTCTCTCTGCCCTCCCTGAGGGTCTTAGCATGGAACTGAAGGAGGGGAAAGGGGGAGACAAGCTGTGCCTCCCTCCCAAAAGAGGAGGATGCTGCCATCCCCGCTCCAGCTATTCCAGCTTCTGCATCAGCATCCGATGCGGACACACACGGTTGGACCAGAGGGAAAAAGTCAATGGGAAAGGAAAACAGCACGACCAGGAGGGTCCCTGAGGCCACGACCGCCACAGCCAGCCCGGAGGGGGCCCAGGACCCGGCCCCGGAGGGGGGGAGCGCACGCCAGGGACAGGCGGGAGGCA